GCTGTAACCACAGACCACAGTGCTGCAACTAAATCCTGGTATAAGCACCGGTTAGGCAGTCTTGAACTATGCATGTGAAGCCAGCTGAGAGGTATATCCAATCCTATAGATTTCTCATTGTTTGGTAACTATTTGCTGCAAATGCAACAAAAATCAATATAAAAATATTACCCACACAGCATTCTACAGGTTACTTGTATAGTATAGAGTTTCACATTCTGTTTTATTTATATCGAGTTGGAAGACTAAGTTCCGTGTTCGGATTTTCATTTGATTCGGAAGACCCTATTTTGTGTTCAAATCGGAATTGATACCAACACAACACTGATTTTGATCATTTATATCTCGTTTTTAATTCTAATATTTTTTGCTGCGTGGCAGACGTTGTTGGGGTTGTCTTCATCTTGGTTTGCAATATAATCAAAACGATTGTTTTGTCAAACGTGTTGATACAAATATTGAGTCGGCGGAGCTTGAGTAAAAAAAGAAATTTTCTTCATAAAAATATTTTTTTCTAGCAAATGAATGTACGCAATTTGATTGGTCACACTACCGGTTTCAAAGGAGGCAGACTTCTAAATACAGCGGAGAGCATGGGAACGCGGCGTCGATAAAAGGTAGTGGCGTTCACGTTAGAGATCTCGGCACGCGACGAAAAAAAAAATCGATCTCGGTCCCGATAGATGATCGAGACCGAAACTCATCAGCATGTGCCGAGATTTACTGCCTGAACGCTCGGCACGAGCCGAAATCACGCCCTCGGTGGTGAATTTAAGAGAACATATACTGATTCATACGAGTGTGAAATGACGATGGGGAAGTGCAGCTATATATGGTCGGGCGATGTAGTAAATAATTAAATAAATGCAGAACGTTGTCGTCGACGCATATTTATGTGCTTACATCGAGGTGAAAAAATAATTGTTTTTTTTTTTATCTTCTTTGCCGTTCAGGTGCACAATGACTTGTAATAAATACTATAACAACAAATGGATATAATTTCAATATAGCAATTATTATTATCATCATATGTGTATCGTTTTCCTTTGTCACCAGGTTATGAGATTTTAAGATATTGCACAATATCTCTGCCATAGGAGCCTATGGTAAAAGCATTATAATAGTGCCAAAATGTAGAAGCAGAACTAAAGTGTTCATTTCATTTTATTGTTAGTTTTGCCCCCATAAATATTTGTATGCAAGACGAGACAACATGGTCGTCGAGTATCGTTCGTTAATATTGACGACTCCAATCATGAAGAACCGTTGATTTATATCTTAGAAATAACTGAATCATTTTGGTGTGGTTGGATTCCGATATTCACGTCAGAAAATCACTGTGAATTTAGAGAATACAAAATGTCTTCTTGTTATATCAAGATGGCGATTCGAACGACCATAGTCGATGTTATAGCGAGAGTATCTGATCTTAACGCCCCCCCTAAAACACACTTTCCGACTTGAACTATTATTTTACTAAAATTAATTCCAATCGATATCTCTGTCGTCGAAATCTACAAAATTCGTTTTTCCACATTTCAGTTGCGTTGTAGCAAAAATCAAAACAAAGTGTATACGCATGCGTAGTGTCATACCATATGCTAATTCTATGTTAAGAGCAAAGTAGGCTTGCGTTCACGTGATTAACGAATAACAAATTTGACGAACGCGAAACATGCATTGAGATAAAAAGGTATTAGCGTTTCCCAACCGGGTGTGGAAGGGGACTGTGCGTGAAAGTAGCAAGTGTAGTATCATTGACGCGAACATATCAGGCGCCCCCAAAGCCAGCACGCACGAGAAACGAACACGGTATTCTGTTTACGGTTGTAGCTCATTAATTTCACTTCCGGTTTGGCCTTGAATTCCTATCATTTTATTCCATGCACACAGTGGCGCTGACCACAAATGTACATCCTGTGTTGAAAAAATATACAAAAGAATGGTAGTATGATACAAACGGCGAATTTTGAACATTTAAATGTCACAGGTGTAATTCATTTCGTCACAATAGTGTGCAACCAACAACCGATAACACAAGGTATTTATCGCAATAAAGTGTGCAAATATTGATATAGGTGTCCAACAAACTATTGAGAACAATGCTCTACAGGCAATGTCCAACTCGCCAGCCGATGTTGTGATTGTACACACACACACACACACACACACACACAAATAAATTAACTAGATTGGAAATAAGCCAATAGTTACGTTCTCACGTCTAAAAGACGCCGGTGTCATTATTTTGTCTCGGGGGAGTTAGCATTGACCGTTAAAGGCCACGGCATAGCCTTGTACATTTGTCCCCAATTCAATGTGTATGAACGGGTCATGGACAGTTTATCGTGAGGCATAATAGGCCTGCGGGAGCATCGTAAAGGAGCAAAGGTCAAGCTAAATCGAGGATGCATGTTAAACCATAAAGTACAAAGTAATTTATTATACAACTTACCGGGAGTTATATGGATATTGTTTGTCGAGATATGACATCCCCACCCCTCTCACCCAACAAAGCAGACACACGAAGATGTAGATTTAAATGGCGACGTGTAAAATACATTGTTTATTTACATGAAATTCGAACACGCGCTGCGCGACGACCACCGCGCTTTGAGTCTAATTTCAACAAAGGATCACAACTGCGACGCGGAGCGTAGGTCAAAGACCTCGAAATAACAACGGGACATATTTCCAGGTAATATATATTCTGGTATGTATATATTATATATTTAGCCAAAGTAAATCCGTGATCAACATTCAGCATTAATTTAAAAAATAGGGCCAACATTTCAAAAATCATTAATTTGTCTACATTTTCATATAAATGAAACTTGGCATGTTCAATATAAACCCGAGCCCCATTGGTATATAAGATTCCCATCATCACGAGGACATAGACAACCCTGTGCTCGAAATGGTTCAGTCCAGTAAACCTCCAGTCACTGACCAGGTACATTGTAAAACAGTCACGGTGGTTGATCGACTGACTGTCACCCTGTGTGTAGTAGTTGGTCATCAGACGGAAATGGGGCGGGTATAGTACAGTTGTATAGAGTTCAGTGCGACAAAAATGTCCGAGTCCACGTTGATAGCATTATTATTTTGGTTCGGTACGTTGTCGTGACATCGCTGAAACTGATCGCTGAGAATTCCACCACGCACCACGACTCCGTTTGATGAGAACTTGACAGTATGTTGCAACAGGGACATCATCGGCAGAACAACGTGCTGGACTCCACGTCTGACTTCGACTCACCGAGGCCAGCAAGACGCTCCAGACACGGACATTCAACCACCCTTCCCCATAATTTTGACCCAGGCCGTCGAAGGTCGTGGATTCCCGGCCTTGAGAGCGGTGTGTCATTGTTTTCTTCACACAGCCAGAAATCCGTTCGAATACACGGTCTGAGCGACGATGAATGGCACAGGTGAGTAGTCGACAATCAAAATATTGTTACCCGATGTTTGTTTTAAAAATAACCTTTACGCTATGCATTGTGTTTTAGCTCCGTGTTCACGTCTCATCACAACCCGTGTTATCTTTCTCCTTGTGTATGTTCTCCGCCTAATTAGATAATTGCATATACGTATTTGGCTCGGGTTACTTATTTTGACTCGCGTTGCAGAAATATAATATGATTAAAGTCGAGATGCATCTTTTAGACACCCTTCGATTAAGATTCATTTTTATTTACGTTTTGAAGAATACACATGTTATGCAGTAAAATATGAGCTCTTAATGTGAGCACATATAAACAATGGTCGAAAATACTTTTTTTATTGATTTTTGTTTACTTTTACATATTCTTATATAATCTACGCGAGGAATACTGTCTACGTTACGTATGCTTTACTTGACATTGAAAAGTAAATTCCATAGGGGCCGTTTGAACATAGAATGACAATTCTGGCACAAATAAGATGATTATGCAAATTAGCAAATATCTGCGCATCAACAAGAAATTCTATTTGTAATAGCGCGTGTTCGTCATTAAAACAGTGTCCGTATTTGTATATAATAGTGTAATTTGTGGGAAGCATCAAAATATTATATTCATGTTTGAACAAAATCGGCTTAAAAGTGTTCATGCTATTTTTAAAACTAAAAATGCTCTTTTCAGGCATGAATAATTAACGATAAACTGCCATATTCATTCCATTTTCTGATTTTGTATAATATGACATGTCATAGAAGCCATCTTCTCAATCTATCAGTTCGCGTGCTTATAAATGTGTCTATCATCCTTAGATGATCGATTTGCCAGCAGTAATATTTCATCAACAGTTCCTAAATCTTATATTTGTGAATCCGGTTTCAATCCGATTGTTATTGCCATAGCAGTGTTCCGCCAACACACATTCGCTCGGCGGAGACCTCGAGATAAAGACACCTGCACGTAGCACAGTTCGTTATTAGGCACCCACCCAATATTTTAACATTTTAACAGCCTCCTGAACGAGTTTCCGAAACAGATAAAACATTTATTATCGACAGTTACGCTAATAATGCTGACGTTTGACCCAGTGCTGTATGGACTTATGGGTAGCTTGGCTTGTGTTCGACCTTCTCCAGAAGTCAACTGCCCCATAACAGTTGCGTTCAATCAGCCGAAGTCTGTGGCCTCAGGTACACTGCTGGCGACCTCGCCATTTCTAGTAGTGCCATAATCGTTCCCGGTTAGAATCGCATGGCCGTATAAATGTTTTGTTCTGTTGCACGCATCAGTGTTATTATTCTGTGTCGAATTGTTTGAGTGCCCTGCAGCTGCCGTCGAAAACTATACCACTGAGATCTCCGTTGGTATCGAGTACCCTAAACATGTGGTTGTGTGTCGCATTGTATCTCGGTTCATTCACTTTATCGAATGATATTAACATTATATATCGTTTTTTTTTAAATCTATTTTAAACTTAAATCAGATTCGCCTCACTGAGTCGCCTGAAGGACACTAGTTAAGGGGCTGACAATTTGGTCATCACAGGGGTGTAGGAGTAAACCATTATGAATCTAGGGGGAGGTAGGGGTGAATCATTGAGCATCAAGGGGTGCCTGAATGTTGTTGCACTTATTTGTGTGTTTATGAATGCCTGATATTGTTTGTCATTTGAAAACGTGACAACACCCAAGGCCCGGTCAGAATAATGGATCTCCTTTAACCTTAGTGAAGTAAAACAAGACAATTGGAGGATGAACTTTCCTGACTTAAACATCCATTCATTCATTGATACATCCTAGGAGAAGAATTCATAATATGGTGAAAATACCCCACCCCCCATCCATCTCCGCCCATAATATAGGTCATTATTGACACGCTGTCCACCATCATCGGTTTACAGTTCAGTTTTAGAATCGCGTTTCGCAAACGGAATATGCATCTTTGCATGCCAAATGCTGTAATGAAACGTACGGAGTACTTTTTGCAAAATGCCCGAGGAGACAAGGATCCTGACACGAGGCACGTACATGTCGGAATCATATGATGCTATTGGATTTCAATGCGTTCTTGGTTTTCATTACATCAAAATTCTCACAACGTCGACTGTGATACTGTAAAACCATTAATTTCAATAATTTTTAGCCTAATAGTGAAACGATTGCAATTCTAAAATTTTAGTGGATTTCACTTGTCAGCGAAGATAACATTATGACTAAAACCCAGAAAATAATTAGCGCATTTACCTTATACACTCGACGCGGCAAAAAAATCTAGTGAAACGGATTCTGAAAAAAAATAAATCATAATCTTGTTTAAAGCGGGGGATTCGTCACCTGCGCATGCGGCAAACGCTAGAGCGTGTCATTGTTTACAAACAAACGCCTACCCATGAGCCTTTGCGTTTTTAGCGTACGTTGTTATCGTCGCTTGAGACTCAATTCCCGCGCATGCGCAGGTGACGACCCATCCGCTTTGAATATAATTATAATCTAATTATAATACAAGAATATGTTTCATGTATCTTTCTCCCAAATAGTTTGACTATGACGTCAGTGAACTATCTGTTAGTGTGCTGTAGACCCTGTTGTCTATGATGATCGTGTATTCTTTGAGTTGTAATACCACTATTTCTATTACGTGATCCATATCAATATATTTGCATTCGCGTGAATTCCACATACTGATAGCAAATAGTCGCCGAGATCGAGAGATCACGCGACTT